CGCCGACAATGGTGAATGTTGGGGTGGCGACGGCGGTGGTGGTCGTGCTCTCGGCCTCGGCTGTCGTAGTGGTAGATTCCGCAGCCGTTGTTGTCTCAGCTTCAGCTGTTGTGGTGGTAACTTCGGCCGCGGTGGTTGTCTCAACTTGGGATGTTGTAATGGTGTCTGGCGCGCTTGTGATAGTAGTGCCAGTCTCGACAGAGGTTTCAGATAATGAAACGGTGGACGATTCTTCGGCGGTTGTAGTGGGCTGTGTTGTCGAAGCCATTGAGGTTGAGATTATGGTCTCCGAAGCTGAATAGAAAACCATGATTAGCCATTTTCCAGCCTTGTTTCAGAATGCTCTCCTTGTAGACATACTGGAGGACCTGGGCTTGCAAGGACCAGCAAGCACAGAGTCTGCGACAAGAAGGCCAATGGCCAACAGCAAGACGTTGGATCGCATCCTCGGCACGATGATAATTCGCGAACGATTGACTGAGGTGAGTGACGAATCAGAAAACACAGGACGAAAGAAATGCAAAAAAAAGATCAAAGGGGAAGGCTAGTGTATATGTGTATATTGTTTCGTGGTGTTGATTACGATCGTCTCATCTCCCTCAAATCAATAGTTTGCTCTAGCGCGCCACAAGATCAGGAAGAAGAACGTTGTGCTTAACAATAATTGGCTGCCCCGCGACAACACCGCCTAGCTTGGCCCTAACGGAAAAGCTTGTTGCCCACTACGGCTAGGTCGGCAGTCTTCAAACGATGGAGCTTTACTGTTAACGGTTGGCGATCTAATAATCCCAGGTCACTATTATTCGTTACCAGACGATCTGAGGGAATATTACTCTATTGAAGTTCAATCAACAATATGGTTGGCTGGTAGCGTATACCAGCATAAAGAACTAAGGTTTACCAATGGATTATGAAGTCATCTTCCTCTCCATGTGCAAGAAGATCGAGACCGGCGGACTGTCACCTCATAGCTATAAACTCTCGCCTAATGAGGCTACCATAGAGGGAATGTTTACATAATATCTGGTTCTAAACTCATACTTCTTCCTCTTGGTCCTCCCCAACTGGCCAGTCGGGCTGATGCACCATCGCCATGACAAGCCCCGGCTTATCGGAAGTGATACCAAGATGAGTCTCCAGGCCCATACGCCAAGTAGATGGGTAGAACTCGCGATTCTGAAACATGAACATGGATCCGATGAGATGGAACTTGTTGGGCCTTGGTCCATCATCCGTTGAAACCTCATGACGAACCACATCATACCAGTTGTGATCTACCAGCCTTTGGATGACAGCTGCATTATCGTGAGGTCGCAGGATATCTGGGTTGGCGAGCTTCTCTAGGCGTTCGAGCCAGGCTTCTTGTGTAAGGTTCCTGCCCAGATCAATACCATGACCCATGCCATCTCGACAAGGCTTATATATATAGTTATCCCTGACGTTGGGGTCGGATTTTGACTCAAGTAGCAGCTTTTGCAGCCCCTTTGAGCCAGGGTTGATGGTTTGAACGATCCCATCAGCAACAATGTCGGCCTCCTCAGCCGTCAACACACCACGTGAAACCATATTCGGAAGCTCTTCAGGTATGATGCCAAGGAGTCGTTTGTCATGCACGATGAATACAGTTCGAAGATCGTTGAGAGGAGTCATGGACAGTTGGCGAGCGACAGCTGGTTCCAGTTCGGCATACTCTTCTTGCAGCATCTCAACAAACCACTGTTCCAAGAGCCTGTTCGTCGCCTTATCCCAGAGAGCGTATCCAGTGGGAGAAGTTTCATCAGGGCGGACTTCCAGGTCTTGAGGACGAACTGCTTCCACTGGTGGCCTTCCACGTGTAACGTTGACAGCTGAGAGAATTTTCGAGTCAGCACCAGGCCACTTATCTCTAATAGAGTAAAGAGGCTTATCGGGGTTGAATAGTGCCATAAGGTTGTTATAAGATGTCTAGTTTTGACAGAGCGTCAGCTTCATATCACGGCGCAGAGATAGTGGTAGCACTCACATCCATACTATTCACAGGCTCAAGTCCTCCTTTACTTGCACCCAGTTCCCGAAGGCCATTCTCACCCAGAGCAATTCCCATGACGGCATTGAGAGGAAGCCTTCCGTTAATTTCGCATACATATGGCGACTCGTCACGCAAACCGTCTAGACTGCGACCAAATAACAAGTCACTTCGCCAGCAACCAGCATGCTCGGCATAGTCTGGAACGAAATCACTAGACGCTACCCACCGGAGAAGCTCCCCTTCCGATGGATCCAATGGCATACGCTCCGGAAAGCGGGCCTTCTCGTCTGCAAACCAGCGGTCCACGATATCGACAAAAACACGACCAAGGAGAAGATGAAGCTGCTCCAGTCGTGAGAACAGGGGATTTGACACCGCAACGACATGTGGTGAGATGCGTTCCATGATTCCGAAAGATAATTCACCACCTTTGGCGTCGGCGTAAAGATGCTTACGAAAAGTTTCAAGATCTCTAGCCCGACGAGCAAGGTTGCTGCAATATGCAGGGATCAACCGCTGCTCTTCGGCACTTCGGGAGACCGAGACTTGCATGAGTCCCGGCCGTTTGGCAGCCATGGCAGGCATCTTTGTTTCACTTTTAGATGTTCTTCTTAAGAATTGCACCGTATAATAATTAGGAGAAATTTGGAGCATTGAAATGCCGTTTGCGCTGCTTATAACTTATACAGACCCCTGTCAGTCTTGATATGACAAGAAAGGGCGCGTGCGACACCACCTACCTATTCTAGCCTTATTCTGTCTCCACGATAAGCAGCGTATTACGCAGGGAGAGGCTATAGAGGCTGTTCTGAGAAGGATGACTATAGTCAGAATTTAGAGCGTAAGCGATGACGCTGCCACAAACTCCTTCGGACTTATCAAGGAGCCCGATTCAATACGCCAGTGACGGCAAATAGTGTGTCTGACTTCCGGGGTAGCTTAGTGGAGTCATCATCTCAGCTTTGAGGGAGAGGCAGAAGGTTTAGTGACTGCTCTCAATCCCTCCTATCGCATCATTACCCAACCAGCCAAGATCTTATCAGTGTAAGCCCTAAAACCTCACGCCAAATGCAGATTGCTCCTACAGACACTTTTCTCGGTCGCTAACACTTTTTCTTCATCATGTGATCGGATTCGATGAAGCGGTCGTTTTCTGAGCAGTGGATAAGGATCTCAAAGACAAATACCCTGACTAGGGCATTGCCTTGCACCATCTTCATGTCTTCTTCATTTACTTGATAATATTACATAAGTACTCTATAAGGTAAGTTTCAGCAGTTTCCAACCAAAAGAGTTGACTCACAGGGGGTATATTGATAAAGGCCAACTTGGACTCGACAACGACAACCTTACGACCAAGTTTGGAGTCTAGACTTCCCAGCATATCTAACGCCATAAACTCAGCTCTCTGAGTTTGCGTCTGTGGTTAGTCAAGTTCGATGAAGTTATGTTCTTGATCTGAATAACCACTTCTGAAGTCGGCATACCCGTTCACCACGCCACGCAGAAATGCATCTATCTGCCTCCTAAAACACTGAATCCCGCGCCATACGATAGCTTCGCTGGCTGATCAAGAAATCCAGTGGCAATTGGACAGGATCGCATTTATGTGAGGGGATTCTGAGCATCTCGCATGGTGAGATATCCCACCAATCGGACCTTGCATTCCGTGACATACGACATCCGGTTAATGTATTTGAAGTGGAGGTATTTTGCAGCGAGCGAATCTAGATATAAATCAAGAATAATGCCTTCTAACCTTGAATTTTTGGCCAATGCTTATTTGGATAACGGCTGTCACTCTTGTTCCTCGAGATGAAGCCATTCGATCAATGCCTTCTTCTGGCAGTTGGCCTGTCTGGAGCTCTTGCTAGTCCAGTTGCCTTGATGGCTGCCCAGACAACGAAGAACTTTATCGTATTGTAGGTCACATCAGCAGGAAATCTTTCCAGACTAATCAGTGGTAGTGGTGATTCATATTCAACCGTGGGATTCTGGCCGGGAGGACAACTGCCATCAGCTTCCAACCCTATCGGGAACCCCGGACTACCAGGGCAGACGACTTCTGCTGGTCTTAATTGGGTCGGCCATGTCACGTCAACACTTAACACATCGTTGATCCTCACATACGACTTTGCTTACAGCGGAGCGACTGTCGACAAGAAGATCGTCAACTCATGGGCCCAGTACTCGATGTCGGACCAGGTGGATCTCTATAAGCAATATGTTGCGCCCAAGATTACAAAAGTCGACACCCTCGTCGCATTCTGGATTGGTATCAACGACGTGGGTGAGGCGTTTTGGAGCAAGAAGAGTGCTCTTGTTACCGAATGCGTGAACAGATATTTTGAGCTCCTTCAGGTTCTTGTCAACGATGGCTACAGCAAATTCGTCTTGCTGAGTATTCCTGGTAAGCCTCGAGCACCTGAGAAGGAATATTATGTTTTCTGACTCTTTATGAAGCATATGCAGATCAGTTCCCCAAGATGATAGGTCAGCCGGAAGTTGATCTGGCTCGCCTAAGATCCGACATCATTTCCTACAACAACGCGGTCAAAGCCAAGGCAGCTAGCTTCACATCCTCTCATCCAAATGTCAAAATTCAGATCTTCGATACAAAACCATCATTTGACCAGGTTGTCAATAATTACGCGGCTTACGGAGCCAAAGATGCTACTTGCTTTGGCGCAGGTAACTGTCTTTGGGCAGATGACTACCATGCCAGTGGTGCCATCCACAAGCTCTTAGCCCAGAACTTGGGGAAGGCAGTGAAAGGAGTTTTTGTCTTCTAGGGCAGCATGGAGGTGGGGTCATTGCAAAGTGTACAAAATCATGTATTCGAATCTCACTCTCTTCAGCCGTCTAGCATACATTTATTTCGATATGAGTGATCCTCGGTGGTTCCTTCGAATTTACTGCTTAGTTCCAATTTCCATGCTGGCAACAGCCTTTTCTGTCTCCAGTGCTGTGGACTTAATCCTTCTCAGTACGCTCATGGGTATTGAGGATCATTAGGATTGTCGGCCGGAAGATGAGACAAACATAGTTGCGGAGTATGCTTTTTGAACCGTTTCTGTAGTTCTGTGCGGAAATCCTCGATCACCACCCTTGATATGGCATCAAGTCTCACCGCAGGTAGCGCTTCCAGGGGGAATAGCCAGAATCCAAACGCCGGCGTCACACCCTCTCTGGATATCTTCTCAACATCCGCCTCGCTGTCTTCTTCTAAAACTTGATCCAGAATGCGTTTTTTTTCGTCCATTTCATTCTCAGCAAAGGCGACTGCATCCTCTCTGTGGTATACTGCCTGAACTGACTTTGAAAGGGTGCTATTTGGAGTTGATAAGCCTGACGACTGATCGCCCAGGTCAGGCGCCCAGCGCTCATTCTCTCTAGCAATGATCTCCGGATCGCAATCTGGGTAGCTTGTCATGATCTGGTAGAGAAGTGTAGGGTCGTTATTAATTCCCCATTCTTCAAGATGTTCGAACCAATCGGCCACAATATCTGACAGACTTATCATTTCGTCGAGATCTACACCATCAAGAAAGTCGCCCACGGCCCTGGGATCCTGCTCCATAGTCTGAAATACAGGGACGTGTGGTTTGACAGGCACAAAAGGGCTGCTGGCAATGCCACGGTCGGGTCTTTGCCGATTTTCGGGGTATTGGCAGGTTTCAGAATCATACACGCCTACGAAGATGAATCTTTTCAACCGCTGGATTGCCGCCTTGATTTTTTCCAAGTCACAGTCTGTTTTGAATGAGCTAGTGGAATAATGATACCTGCAACAGCTCCGATAGGTCTGCAGAGCCAAGTTGACAATGCCGACGTGGAGTGGATCAAGTCTCCATATATGATGTGCGAGTTCTGGGAAATAACTCCACCCGGAAACGTGTATAATGTCGAGCTCTGGGTTAAAGTAAAGGATCCCATCGTAGGTGCTGGTCGTATGGACATATGTGCAGGGGATATGAACACGGTAGAATCTTTTGGCGGCGGCACGAGATTCGCGGTTGGTAACAAAGAGCTTGCTCATGGCGATGCGCTCTCTGAGTTCGATGCGGCGTTCCTCGCTATATATTTTGAGGATTCTTTCGTGGGTTAGGGATTGTATCCAGATCTTATCGCGAAGCTCAGGAGGAAACTTGCTAAATTGCGGGAAGCTGGAGGTGCTTAGCATTGCCGGATTGAGAATTTGGACCTCTTCATGAGAACCAGACGAGAGTGAATCTTCCGTGCCTGTTCCCAGGGAAGTGGTCATCTTGCTTTTGTTACCCAGGCGGGGCTCCCACGAGTGATTGAGCTAGGTATGAGAGACATGCGGTGCTTATATGGCGACCTGAAAAACAAAAGCTGACTTTTGTGGCTTCAAAAGTTCCAGCCCACAAGGTTTGTAAAGTGAGAGGTGGAGATAAACCTTCAGCCAAAGCCTCGAAGTTGCAAATACTTCGTGATTGGAACCCGTTTTAACTTAAGGTCAGAAGGTCACGGTCTGACGCGGCGGGGACTCTCAATGATCATTGGATAATTAAAATTGTTCTATCTCTTGTGAATAAATATTGAAAACCCTTACAAGCCCCCTCTTCTATAAACTCAAACTTCTACATAACTTTGTATGGCACTCTCCCCCGTCTATTAATGGCTAACAAAAGCACTTGTCTTAACCCACTGTTCCATTGTCTTGGCCCCAGGGTTAAGCTGTCGAACCTTGGCCAAGTCAGCACCGTAACCTTCATCTCTGAACCAATTAACCATGATTCCGACCTCGGCAACACCATGCTTCAAAGCTTTTCCGAGCAAACCGAATGTGGTACCAGCAGGACCACCAGTGGCGTGCTCAAAAGCTTCACTGAGTTGCGCGAATGTGAGCTCATCGCCAGCTAAGCTGATAGCTTGCTTGCCCCAGGCTTGTGGGTCGGTGAAAGCTTCAGCAGCGAAGAAGCCGATATCTTCTGTTGCCGTCCACTGAAGAGGCTTGTTCTTGAGAGTGTCGCGAATCATGGTGAGGAAGACCTTTGTGGCGAAACCGGGTTCTAGGTTTTCCATGAAAGCTGTTGGGCGCAAGATGGTCCATTCCATCGGGCTCTTTCCGTTGGCGGTCGAGTCGCGAAGATAATGCTCGATCTCGTGCTTGGTCTTGAAATGAGGGACAACCGTGGCGTCGTTCCAAGACTTCTCGTCACCGCCCCGGTCGACGCTGGAATAGACAAAGTGCTTAATGCCAGCCTTGATAGATTCGTCAATGAGACCCTTTCCTTGTCGGACTTCACCCTCAAGGGTAACACCCTTGCCCATGGACAATTGGACTGAGTAGACGCCCCAGAGAGGCACAGTTCCGGCAGCTTGCTTAGCGGCACTGAAGAGAGCGGGGATTGAGTCAAGATCGCCTTCAATCAGCCTGATGTTGGAGGATTTGGAGGCTAGCTTCTTTGCGGAAGGTGACTCTTTGTTGCGGGTGGCAGCCAGAAGAAGGAAGTCTGCGTTCTTTGCGATAAGAGCATTGATGACAGAGCTGCCTTGCTTGCCGGTGGCGCCAGTGATAAGAAGAGCACGAGACATTGTTGTGATGTTGGAGTGGTGATAATATTAAGGTGAGTTATCTTCAAATTAAGTTGATTGATTGTCGATGATGGTGTGTGATCGTTGAGAGTATTGACTGTTGGTGTCTGTGCTGTATTGCTGTTGTTGATGGTGATGAGATTGATTGAAGCAGGCCATGATGGGCTCTATATGTATTCAATTCTCTACACTAGTCAAGTCCAATCGCGAAACAAGATTCAAAACTTCAACCAACTCCATCGACGATTTCTAACATGCTTGCTAAGAATGGACTATGTCGGATTTCCATGTCTCGAGGAGCGAAGTGGATGGAAAAGGCAGTGGACATTTCGGAGATGCGACAGATGCCGATAAAGACAGGGCTAGCCTGCTTTGGGGGTAGTAGCCTTGTAAAGCACCCAAGCCAACTTCGCATAATCTACGGATGGCTGTGATCCTTGTATGTCTCTATCACAAAGTACTCGGATCTCCGTCGAAATCTGTGTACAATCATAAGTGCTCAATGTTAGCAGCCCTGCCTACCCCGCTTTGGCAGGATTAGCAATCCCACCAATCGAATACTGGGTAAACGAAGCGCCCCGCCCGGTCAATGCCAAGACACCGAGGGGCCAATGATGGAAAGAATGGAATTCCGCATCCTTTCGCTGCCACATAAGCAACCTACCCTATGAGGTTGGTGATGCTGTATGTCAGCAACTAGACAGTTTGTTGTCAATCCTTCAGATTGTAAAGCAATTGCACCATAGACAGAGTCAAATTGATTCATCTGATTCAATATCTCTATTGAACAAAAATGAGCTATATAATAAACCAATATTCCGACTATCGTGAACATGTCAACCCATCATTTCACTCACATCACACTTTATAGCCAAATAACTTCAAACACTTTCACAACTATCACAACTATCCTGTCATCATCGCCACTCCGCCATAACAACACTGAATAAACTTTCCGATTAGTACCATCATCACCTTAATTATGCCTCATCTCGCCGCTCAAGTCCCCGCCGCCAAGGCCCCTCTCGAGGTTCGAGAAATCGATACTCGCCAGCCTGGACCCAATGAACTCCTCGTCAAGAACCAGATCATCGCCATCCAGCCAATCGATGCTAAGATCGCCAAGGTCGCCATGCTTCCCCTTCCATACCCAGCTGTTCTCGGCAGTTCCTTCGCTGGCACTGTCGAGAAGGTTGGTTCAGACGTCAAAGACTTTAAGGTCGGTGACAGGGTTGTTGGCATGAAGACCGCTGGAGCTAGTGAGAGCAAGTACAGCGCTTTTCAAGAGTACTCTATCTCATCGGAAGTCACTACCACAAAGGTTGATGATGACGAGACCATGGATATTGCTGTCCGCCTTGTTGGTAACCTTCCTACCATCCCTGCCATCTTCAACTATACCCTCAAGCTGGAGCGGCCTGTCCCTGGTCAGGAGCCCAAGTCTCAAGGAAAGCGCATCTTGATCTACGGTGGAACCTCCAGTATCGGAAGCATGACTGTCCAATATCTCACCCAAGCCGGATACGAAGTCATCACTACTACCTCGCCCAAGCACAAGGACTTTGTGTCCAAGCTCGGTGCTTCAAAGATTATTGACCACTCTCAAGAATCTGAGGCCCTCACTAGGGACCTCATCGCCGCTGGCCCCTACGATATCGTTCTTGACACAATCTCAACCGGAGCTACAGTCAAGCTTCTGGCAGACGTTGTCGCGGCTCAAGGCGGCGACTCAGTCTACGCCCTCCAGCCACCGTTTGGTCCCGAGACTCTTCCCACTGGTGTCACACGCAAATACGAAGGCTGGTCTCTGCTACTCGGTAAGGAGGAGAATGCAGAGCTACTGAAGTGGATCTTTGGCACGTATTTCCCCAAGGCGCTTGCTACCAAGAGTCTTATTTCTGTGCCTGCCCGAAAGGTTCCTGGTGGACTTGGTGGAATCAATGATGCTTTGGGTCTTTTGTTCCCTAAGGGTGTCAGCAGTGAGAAGGTTGTGGTTGACCTTCGGGATTAATTTCGGTCTCACTTTATGTCTCATTTAGCCGCAGAAGCTACATCTAATAATAGTCTAGACAGCGATTGATCTAATGGAGAGAAGTTTGTTTCATCACTTGTGCCATAAATGCCTCTGATGATCTGCCGGTTGCATGATCGTTTGAATGGAAACGGCACTCTTTCGGAATGTCGTCCCGTCTTCCAACTCTTTGCTATGAGCTTCTGCAGATCATTGAGCGAGAAAACCACAGTACATGCATATATCTACTAATCTAGCTAAGTTCACTGCTCCGATGACGGCTTTTACAATCCGTTTCCAGAATGACGCCAACCATGCAACGTAGAGAATGCTACCCAACACACCCTAGGTTATCCAATCTTGTCGATGTGGCATGTTAGCTACTCATATTGGCCAAGGCAAATCTTGTTCCATGTCCCGAGTTTGGCATATTCGGAGCCATTTGCCGAAGTTGCTCCTTATGGCCAGGGTCCGAGCTTGGCATGCCTGATAGTACCGATCCGCCTTTTTATAAGTTCCTTGATCTGCATATTGTGAGGGACAGCAGTGATGTAGGTTTCCCTGTTTTAAAAAATGAAGTTATCTTCGCTTGCTACTTTGGCGGCCTCTTTTCCCCCAACACTTGCTGGCTTGGTTAGACACCCTCGCGCCACCACCTTCAATAATCCTGTCATCTACTCAGATTTCCCAGATAACGATGTATTCCTCGGTCCGGATAACTACTATTATTTCTCGGCCTCCAACTTCCATTTTAGCCCTGGAGCCCCCATTTTAAAGTCCAAAGATCTGCTCAACTGGGATCTCATCGGCCATTCAATTCCCCGCCTGAACTTTGGTGACGGCTATGATCTTCCTCCTAGCGGCTCACGCTCCTACCGTGGGGGAACTTGGGCGTCATCCCTTAGATACAGAAAGAGAAATGGACAGTGGTACTGGATCGGCTGCATCAACTTCTGGCAGACCTGGGTATATACCGCCTCATCACCCGAAGGTCCTTGGTACAACAAGGGGAATTTCGGCGATAACAATTGCTACTACGACAATGGTATACTGATCGACGACGACGACACTATGTATGTAGTATACGGCTCCGGTGAGGTCAAAGTATCTCAGCTATCCCAGGACGGATTCAGCCAGGTCAAATCCCAGGTAGTTCTCAAGAACACTGATATTGGTGTCCAGGACTTGGAGGGCAACCGTATGTACAAGATCAACGGGCTCTACTACATCCTAAACGATAGCCCAAGTGGTAGTCAGACCTGGATTTGGAAGTCAAAATCACCCTGGGGCCCGTATGAGTCCAAGGTCCTTGCCGACAAGGTCACCCCTCCTATCTCAGGTGGTAACTCGCCTCATCAGGGTAGTCTCATCAAGACACCTAGTGGTGACTGGTACTTTATGTCATTCACTTGGGCCTATCCTGCCGGCCGTCTTCCGGTTCTTGCACCGATTACGTGGGGTAGCGATGGTTTCCCCATTCTTGTCAAGGGTGCTAATGGCGGATGGGGATCATCTTACCCAACGCTTCCTGGCACGAACGGTGTGACAAAGAACTGGACAAGGACTGACACCTTCCGCGGAACTTCACTTGCTCCGTCCTGGGAGTGGAATCACAACCCAGACGTCAACTCCTTTACTGTCAACAACGGCCTAACCCTCCGCACTGCTAGCGTCACAAAGGATATCTACCAGGCGAGGAACACGCTATCTCACCGAACTCATGGCGATCATCCAACCGGTATAGTTAAGATTGACTTCTCTCAGATGAAAGACGGTGACCGGGCCGGACTTTCAGCGTTTCGAGACCAAAGTGCATACATCGGTGTTCATCGAGATAATGGAAAGCTCACAATCGCTACGAAGCATGGGATGAATATGGATGAATGGAATGGAACAACAACAGATCTGGGACAAATCAAGGCCACTGCTGATGTGCCTTCTGGAAAGACTAAGATCTGGCTGAGACTTCAGCTTGATACCAACCCAGCCGGAACTGGCAACACGGTCTTTTCTTACAGCTGGGATGGCGTCAAGTATGAGACACTTGGCCCCAACTTCAAGCTATACAATGGCTGGGCATTCTTTATCGCTTACCGATTTGGGATCTTCAACTACGCCGAGACAGCGTTGGGAGGCTCGATCAAAGTTGAGTCTTTCACAGCTGCTTAGAAGGATGGGACGATGTTGAGTGAGGATATAGCCTTGGGGTATAAATGAGATAGTACAACCGTATTTTAGACTCCTTAACTCCGAACAATGACACGGTACTATTGATAAGACAATCCCAATCAACGACCCTTGGACAGCCAAAGAAACCAAGGCTAAAGATGGCTAGGACCCAATATGAAAGGTGACCAGATAAACTTTGAGAACTCCAACTTCCCTTTGATAGGACGCTTGAAAGGGCTTCAGAATGACATCGGAGTATATAAAAAATAGGAACCATTGAAGCTGAGAATGAAAACTTAGCCACGTTCATCTGCAAAAGCCAGAAAGTGCCAAACCTTCTTTATCCAGCTATCAGTGATTCATCATATGCTTTCTTCCCATCGTCCATCATCTACCTGCCTTGGGGCGGGTTATTCTGTGAATAGCCTGCAGTGTAGACCAATCGATCGGTGACAGGACGTGCTTGAGTATCATATATATATCGGTTCATATTGTAGGAGGTTAGTTGATTCGCGCCGTCTCGCGTCTGTGTTCTTGATCCGTTGTTAGCATTATAAAGGAGTAAGAAGGTTGTGGATGATGACTTACGAGTTCAGAAAGCTACCAGCCACTGCGGCGGTAGAGGTGTTGGTTGCCGAAGCACCTGATGGAGTAGTTCCAGAAGGGGTGGACATTTTGGAGATGTAAGGAGTATTTTTTGAGCTTTGGCGTTAGATTGCAATGCCAAATGAATTGGAAAGTTCGTTGCATATTGGTGATGAATGGGGTTAAATACATGCAGAACCAGGGGAATCACCGAGAGCGACATGATTCAGGAGTCCCAAATCAGGGCTTCTTTCAATCGGACGCACATACATAGCCGCACAAGCGTGCCAAAGCTCTCAACAATGTGGTGGGGAGATTGATGCCTCATATTACTATAGGTCAACAAAGCAATTGTTTTACTCGGAGTGTGTGCGGATGGTGCCTCAACAGACATAAAGGAGGTCTGGATTGCAGGACTTTGTCACAATTGTGATGAGGGGAGAAAGCAAAGCCGCGTGGCAGTAGACACAGAATCACAACTGTGACAAGCACAGAGATAGCAGGAGACTGTGCATTGCATGGGGTCCGCAGGACTTTGTGTCCAAGTGGAAAAACCCCGCTCTGAAAGGTCAGGTTGCAGGCGTGAGATTGGTCGCCACGTCACAGTTTGAGGCCATCTTACAGGGATTAGGGTGACTTGAAATCACAAATGTGATGATTTCTGTCCAGTGACAAGTCTTTGTGTTATCACGCGACTGGTGGCTTTGTGATAGAAGGTTCCATTCGCTGGCAGTGTCATCATCGCACATTCGTTTTCAACCATTGCCTCCCAGGCTCCCACCGCCTGCATTTTCAACCCAACATCATACGGTTTGCGGCTCATCATCAATCAAAAGCAATTTCGCCCATCGCTTGGCTTTCAGTGATCGTGCCGAAGCGCCCGCTTTCTGTTCCCATCTTTCCTCCGACGTCATTACGCGGTGATCAATTGGAGAGGAAATTGTCAAACTTGTGACAGTATCAGGCAATTAAACGCCTTGCCAGGGATCTTCTATTTTCGTCCGCTGTTATTTTTCAGAACTAGCAAACAAGGCTGTGTGACTCTTGGACTTCATTTAAAAGAGCCTCAAGTACGGCGTTATTCACTGTCTCAAGTCCAAGTGCATCATCATGGTCAGAAGTCTCAGTGATGAGAGCGAACATGACGGCATCGGCAGATGGTTTGACAACGATGACGAGTCAGTTCAATCGCCACAGCCAATTCCCATGGGAGAGGACCAGGACGCTAAGGAAATCCCTGTCGACGTCGGCTCACCGAAGGAGATGCTAGCCTTTCTGACCGATCTCCAACAAAAGACAGAGGAGGCTCGACTATTCCAACCTGTCACAAATGTACCGTCAGTGTCATCTGTGCCTTCACTCAACCTATCGGATGAGACGATGAGCTGTAGCTACAGCACGCGCTCCGTGCAAAACGCTATCAGTTTATCTGCTGATGACGAAAATGCAACTTCGAAACATCGCGGTCTTGCGATCGTAGAGTATGGCTACGATGAAGATGCCCAGGATGCTGCTTCAGACTCTTCGTCAGACCGCTCTGGGAGTTTGTCTCCGGTTTCATGCCTCTCACCAAGTAACACAAATATCACATCACCAGGCTCAGATGGATCTGACCGGGATTCCGTAGACTCATTTGGAGACATGCCTGAGAGTGTCTACGAGTCCCATCCAACCGACACAGCTCTGTTGAGCTTGCCAGGCTCTGACTGGGCCTACGGGAGTGACCGGGATACAAATTATTCGGACCAGCACGATCAGGCTTGTGATGCAGACGACGATGAAAACGGTGAAGCGAACGAATCCACGCACCGGGAAGAGCCTCCAGCCACTGAAGTTGATTGTACTGGGGCGACAGATCCCAGCGCTCTGATACAGCAGAAGGACCAGCCACCTAAGCATGCAGCTCAAGACGACGGGAACGAGCACCAACAAGTATCACGGGTGAAAAAGTCTAAAAGGCAAGAGGACTCCCACCTCCGGCTGGCTTGCCCTTTCTATAAGCACGACCCGATTCAATATCGCCGCTGTCACTCCCACGTCCTCAAACGCAATAGCTACGTTAAACAGCATCTTTTCCGCAGTCATATGCAGCCCATACACTGCGACATATGTCTTAGCGTATGGCCGACCGCCGAAGAGCTTCGAGAGCATCGCCGTGCTCAAGTATGCGAGAGACGAGAGTACATTGCACCCGATGGCATTACCCCCGAACAAGAACGTAAACTGCGATCGCGGCTTGGAGGCCCTAACAAATCAGAGAGTGATCAATGGTTCGATATATATAGTATTATTTTCCCAGATGACGAAAAACCAAAGTCAGCGTATCTGAACGGCGAATTGTCCGAGGATGCAGAGAGTCTTCGCGAGTTTATGGAAGGTCGCGGGACGAATTTGATAATGGAACAATTAATAATGTCGGGCCTTATTATGAGTGAAAATAATAGTAGCCGTGAGATGGAGGGGAAGTTTCAGAGAAGTGTACAGAACGCTCTAAGAACTATGTTTGAGGGATGGCAGAATCGGAGAGAGGGGGCTGTTGATGATGACGGCGGTCGGCAGACTAAAAGGCTCAAACCAACGCCCAGAGAATTTCCATACATCAAGGCTCAGACGCCTATGAGGACTGACACTGGGAGTACGAATACCACAGAGACAATGCTGGAAGACCAAATTGAAGGGGAACAGATCGGGCCAACTACTTCATCTCCTCAGCAAACAGGAGACATTGTCCACGGAATTTGGAAGTCACCTTCCTAGCATTAACCATACGACATATATGTTCTCCAATTTTGTCATTTCACGATCTTAGAATACTTCTTTCTTTTATGCTTCCTTCTCAAAGTTTCACTATGAGATTACTATCACAGAACTCCATTTGCTCTAATTTTGTGTATGCCCCCCGTCGACCTTCAGGTCCTGAGATAGAGCCCCCATCTTCCTCAACTCTTCCACAGGCCGCTTGACAGCCGGGGCTACCAGGTTGACGTGATTTCCTGTGGTCTTTAGCTCATAGTTACCTTTTCCATAGATCTTGTCGAGTGCTTCCGAGAGCTTCAACATATTCGGAATTTCGGTCATGGAAAACCGGTGCACGTGGTTCGTTCTGTTGATCTTGCGGGACGGTTTCATTGCGTAAAACTTGACTGGTGGATCAGTTCTGTACATAGATGGATAGATTGCTAGTTAGCAGAAGGTTGGGATGTTTTGAGGATTAAAGTTATGTTTAAGGTGGTCTTCTACGAGAATTTATACTAAGATCTTACACTTAATAAATATTTGGTTGTACAACATTGCACATACTGGGCCTTTCCTTGAATGAAGCTTTCACAATTCGTATCAAAGTGTCTTCTAATTCTATAAATGCGAATATTGTGAGCTTTTGTTGTGAACTTCGAGCGTCACCTGGTTCATTTTCTTGGGTCATTGGTTCCAAGACTACGAATATTGCACATCGACTGCAGTTAAATGGCTGTTACGCCGGTGAATCACTGAGAATTGCTTCAATAGATCCAGGTACCAGATGCAAGTGTTGAGACGATTAGTGTCATCTTATCAGTGCTGTAAAATGACAATCAGTGCAGGATAAAAACACATTACTCCGGCTTCCGTCCAATAGTCCACCGAACCTCATATCCCATCACCGAAACACCGTCATCAACCTCTTGTTGCAGAATGTCGCAATGTTTCTCCACATCTTCATGGGAGTGAATCCATTCGAACTCTCCTTTGGTAGCGATACCATTCAAAGCCTGTCGTGCATAGTTGACAAGCGTATCTCCAGCTCTCTTCTGAACTTCAGGCCCTTCACTGAAGCTACTGAAGTCAATGTGTGAGCATTCGACGTAACCAGCCTTTCTGAAGTGCCCCTCGAGTGGCATTGGGCTACTGTTGGAGGTCAGCGGATCTTTGATGACGACTGGAGGGAATGCTTACGTGACATCTCGCCCAACTGATAGCCCGTAGCGAACATCCGTACTGATCCATTTCTGGTATGCCTCAGTAATTGGCACAGCATTAAACTTGGTGAATCCTGTCTCATCCCACAAGATGTACCCTCCTGGTCGCAGAAGTGATTGAAGGTTCTTTGCTACTGGCGCCCAATCTCCGGCTTTTAGGGCGACCATCAGAAGTCGAACGTGAACCAAGTCATATTTCCCCACGAGATTCTCGGGGATTGGCTCGAAGACATTCCCGAATGACAAGTTGACATTTGGCGGAAGCTCAGTGGGGGAGAAGAACTTTGAGTCATCTATGTCAAACCCATCGAGACGAGCGTCTTGGTGGACTTCTGGTGCGAAGTCTCGTAGCCAGACCCCAGTACCAGTTCCAACATCGGCTACCGCGGGTGGACGCCCAAGAGAGTTGAGATATGACTTGATGTTCTCAGGGATCAAGGTCTTCGTAAGATGTAACCAAGTGATGTGCTGGTAGTCGAGGCGATGCTCCTCAACGCCCTTCTTGCCGCTGTTGAGGGTATAGATCTGGGGTCCAGTCATTTTGGTGTAGATCCTTAAGATTACAGAACATTAATGTGACGAGGACACCAGTCCCAACTTATAGTAAGAGACATGACTAGACTTACGCTCCAGTGCTTCGAATATCTGACTATACCCGTGAAGTGGTGCCGTTAACCGATTGATGATGTTTGACCATGATATGATTGGTTCATCCGATCTACTAAGGATTCTTCTGATGATAAACCAGACGTGACAGCATGAACGAATCTTACTCAGCGCCACGACCAGACGCGGTAAAGCGCCCATGATATGGCGTATTTCTTTCATCCTGGGACAAAAGTGCTCAGAAGAGCCTTTTCTATACTTATTATCCCGTTGCCATCGGCGTTTGATTGACTTGATCGCCAAACTCTTGCCGGATTCGAGAGTCGGGGCTATTACTAAACCCCGGCTTACGTGCGACGAGCTTTGGGGGTACCTGATGCGATAGCACTGAATTATCATCACATCAAAACTCCAGGCTAAATAGATGAAGGCGATTCTCATCTCATCCAGCTCTGGACAATTGAAGCGGAGGTTATGTTTAATACAGACACCAATAGCTTAATTTTGATAGCCTCAGTTGAGAGTGAGATTGGTAATTACCGTCAAGCTTCATGACTCTCTAAGGGGACTGCTACGACACATTCAAAGTAATATAATTGGGGCTTTGACGTCTCTCCTCACGCGCGTAGTGATATCGAGGGTTGATCTCAGCACAAATAACGGGCTGGCCAGAGCGAGCGCCATCTTGTGGACCAGGTATCAAAAGTCTTTGTCGAGTACTGCTACCGCGGGAGCACACACGAATCTTGGTTTACGAAGTACAGTGGAGGCTTTCAATAATCTGGAGCTGCCCCAGAACATGGACTACACCTCATAGCCGTTCCGAAAAAGCCTATGCCGTTGTTAATGTGCCAAAGTGGGCTGGACCATGACGTTAGAGTCTTGACATTGGGTGTTGAGATAAGGCGACAATCTTTAAATGCTAGCCATTCAAATTCTAAGAATGAAAATTTACAGAATATGGCGCAGCCTTACTTCCCAAGTGTGAGGCTGAGGTGCCAGGTCCCGCTGCTATCCATCCAGCCTCTAAAAGAGTTGAGGATGATAAGTTGCTAAGGCAAAAGGATCGCGACTAAGCCAACGTAACTGCAGCTCCAAACTTTCTTTGCACTGAATAGAGAACGATCGTATTCGAGACAGCTTCAGAGTCAGCGCTGTGCTAGTGATGCGCCGCTGAAAACCTGTTTGGCCAACACTTCGTCATTGCGTCAAGCATTGCGCTCCGTGATTCATCTCAAAACATCTGTTAGGTGAGAGGAACACTTTCTATAAGACGATGATTATACGCCCTCAAAGCAACAGTCTCTCGAAATACCATCACAACAAAACACTCACAGGCAACACGTGTAAGCTCTACTGGCACTCGCAACTCTTCACTCACCGACCCCAGATTCGTCATTTAGCCCCCCAAGTTCACACCGCAACAATGCCTTCCGTTACCAAGGCGGTCACAACGCTGGTCTTTCTCGCTTCTGCTGCAATTGCCCTTCCCGTTCATGTCGCTCGCCAACAGACCAGTGAATGCGCGACTGGTACGTGGTACTACTCTTGTAACACTAACGTCGGCTGTTTCGATCACGATCCTTGTGCCAAACCCACTGCTGTTTCTGGCGGAACTCCCGAAAAGGCGAAGGACAAGCCCACTGCGACAACAACATCATCGTCGGTCAAGACCATCGTCCCTGCCACGTTGTACGACATTTACCCTGAGAATCCCGACGAATCTAGTGGCCCGGTCAACGGCGTGCATCTCGAGACCTGGAAGGACAAGTCTCAGGTTGAGCAAGTGATCTTCTTCAAGAACATCCCCGCAGACGCAAAGAACTGCAATCTGTCTTGGCGTCAAGGCCCTCGGTACTCTCGAAGATTCTTCGTCAAGAATAGCGATGCACAAGCTGATGCACGACCTCTATCTGGTTTCCCGAGAACGATGTAACATACAACTCCGTCAAGCCCTTCGACGATCAGAAATCTATTGGCGGCCCCAGCTTCTCTTTCTGGGACGACCGCAAGGAAGACGTGCATCTTGTCGGGGGTGTAGACTGTGCTGAGACTGTTTCCTTCATTGTTGGACTCCGAAATGCCAAGGGCGATTCCCAGGTCTACCTTGAGCAAGATGAACATGAGAACGGCTGGACTCTTACTTACCATTAACTAATCCAAGTGGCGCAGAAGTGATTCATCGTTCATAATGTACCCTTGTTGTTCGGTTTCATCATCCTCTATATAGATACTTTAATGTATTGGTTGTTAACTTACTGTTCTGTGATTAACTTTAAGAACCCCCTTGCATGCTTTGATCATTCCTTCTCTGCGCAATTACCAACTAGCAACCGGCATATCGTTTTTGTCACGAGGAGCACAATTGTTGGGCCAGAAAGTGGGTTTTGTTTCTCATGTGCCTCGACTTTCACTTCGCTCATGAATGAAGACCACGTGTCGTCGGCCATGTTGTGCGCTTCGCAGGCAAGCAACCGCTTCTCGGGGCTATCCTCGTCGAGACCTCGAATCCACCGATGTGTGTAATACCGCAAAGTTTACCACAAATGAAGATTTTAGCGCCCTAGATGTCAGGTAAGTCATCAAGATTACCATCTCTCGGGGTGTGCCCTCATTGTCCAATGCCGCACTTGACGATGAGCTGACAACAGCACGAGTCCTGGATCCTGGACTACCCTGTTTGTAACAGCAAAGATGGTGGGCAATAGTTTCAGCCCCCTGCACAGCGCATCGGAACCATCGCATCATTCTCGGAATCCATTCAAAGCGACACCCAGGTTTCCCGATGTGGGCATGGCACTCTGAAAAGCGCGCCATATCTATGATCACTAGCGTTACAAATGGCTTGGAAAGAATGAAGAAGAGAAAATTACTTACGCCAAGGCAAAAACGGGATTTTTTAAAGAGTCCAACCTCCATATACGAGATAGGTTGTGAGGATAGATCGAAAGCAAAGTATTTTCCACTCAAATCAAGCTGTGATTGGTATCTTTTCTGCTAAGCCCCAATGTGCAAGGTTTATATCATCCAACCTTTATTAAAATAGTGTCTTATGTAAAACAGTCTGTCATATCTGCTTTTTCATAACTCAAACAAAGATATCGTTATGATCTGTGACAAGTATGGGGGCTTGAAAGAGGGTTCAACCCCAGTAGCACAACATTTGCACTGATTTATGTGAGGAGCGGCATTGAGCCTTCAGGTCATATTAGATCTTGGGCCTCAAAATGGCCAGGAGAACGGACAGCACACAGTGCCTACACTCAAAGTCGGATGTGTTGATGGAGAACTTACATCTCAGCAAACCTTACGTCCGTTCCGAAGCTTGTTGGCTAGGGTGCTCTGTTTCCAGAGCGTGTAAGGCGCGTGATATAAGCTATTAGCTATAGGGTTTATTAACTTAAAATAATACTCTTATTAAAGTTAACTTAGGCAATATATTAATTACTTAATATAATTATTTAAAATAAGTTTTATAAGCCTATTTGATAATAATTATATTTAATATATAATAGAACTCTAAATATTTTCCTCAAGGGATAAAATGGCAACCTTAATCCCCTATTATAGCCCTCCAACTTAACATCATTAGAAACACTCCTCAAGATGCAGGCTTACTGTTTCCAAAGCTTCAGTGTACAATAGTCCAGTGTGGCACAGATTTCATGATCAGTTCCTTAAAAGCTTTTATATACCACTCAATATTGAGGTTCGTTCTCAGATACGAGCATTTCGGGATTTGCTTATGAAGTCACGTCACTGCATTGAAGGGCTACATAACAACAGTCAGATGATTTAAGACGTATGCAGATTTCAGTAATTGAAAACCAATACTTTGGTGTCACAAGGAACGTTGACGAGTAGACTGAGGCTATAATAAATTATATTGGCTATACTTGACCTAGATGTGACCTGTTGCGCACAGAAGACCTCCCGAACTGTATCAGAATAGCGCTATAGCTCTCTCACTGCATGTTTTGATTTACCAAGCGAATGACAGTTTCAAGTATGACAAATAAAGACAAACTAAATGAGTGGCGTGTGGAAAGTTCTCCAAGGCTTGTATTCAAGCCTGTACTATTGGGAGGCAAGAATACCCAAAGGCATTGCTTTGAGGCTGCTCAGTGTGACGTTTCCAGATCGTGGCAACAGGTCCAGCATTCGCCCTGGATTTCAACGTTAGTTACCATCACATTGGGGTCAATAAGGTGATCTAACTTGGTGAGAGGAGTACTTTCTCTTGATTAGCGCAAGCCAACAGTCAAAGGTGGTGTAGATCGACTTACCCACTCGTCTGGGCACTGAATCTCCTCAGAAGCGCATAGGAGCCAGCATACATTCTCCTTCTTGGTGTGGGGCATGTCCCTGTGCATAGGTATCTGCGAAAGCTTGATAGAAAGACTATGGCTACGTGTCAGAAAGAAGCATTGCTATCTTGTAGACGGAATGGACTAAGCATTGGAGTAGAAGACATGATGGGGTAGTTTGATATGGAGATACTAACGATATTTCCTGATCAGGCACCAGAGCCTTGGACTGGCTCTGCTTGATCTGCCCCAGCAGGGACGGGATAGCGACAATGCCTTGGGCAAGGGCGAGAAGAGCGACGGCTGAGTACTTCATGATGAATCAAAGATTGATAATATTATGGATTGGGTGTTCGGCTTTGTTGGAGGCGATGTGTTTTGAATGGGCACTGGGGATGCAGCTCTCGTCTTTATAGGCGATTAGGGTCCTTCTTACTAGATCACAACTTAGGTTTCAAGAGAAGATACGAACTGAATGTGTCTTAGGTATCACCGTTGTCTGAGGCACAGTGCATCCATCGGTCATGCTATGTGAAACCCCCCGAGAGCCGTGTTGGTACTATATGAGGGAGACATGGCAATCACTCATTCGATGGATCTTCCGGCGTGTCACAGAGACAACTCCTGCATCTGCTTTGACCCCGCCCAAGTACACTCGGCAGGTCGCCATCGGAACATCGTTCTTGGAACTCGGATCAACACGCTCGAACCGATTACCATAGTCAAGGTCAATAGTTGCCATCGGCTATTATTTTTGTTACTAAATCTAAGACTCTGGTTGTCCTGTCTAAGCGAGTTCAACTTGGTCGACCTTCTTATCCTTCTTGCCATCCTGATCCAATCTACCATGTTCAATATCATCCAGCTTACCAGCATGAAGAGCCCCATGAGATGTTCCTTCAAAGATGGCTTGAATTTCCTCCAGAGTATGACCCTTTGTCTCGGGGAAAAGGAACCAGATAACGACAATGAGACAGGCAAGAATGCAGCAGAAGACAATGTAGTACTTCCAACCGATGTTCTTCATGGCGATCGGGTTGACCTGGTTTCCAACAACGAGACCGACGAATGTGCTGACGTACATGACGGAGACACCGCGGCTGCGAAGGGTGTACGGGAAGATCTCAACGGTATACGCTTGGAGAAGAGGGGCCCAAGCAATAGCGTAGAAGAAGAAGGTGATGAACACAAAACCGACAATGGCTTTGCCGGTAGTTGGACTTCGGGTACTGTCAAACGAAGCACTGAGAGCGGTCCAGATAATGTACGACACGAACATTCCACAAGTCGAGAGAAGGAACAGAGTGCGACGTCCGAGTCTGTCGACTAACATAGCACCGACAAAGATCGCAGCAAGCCAATTTGAGATCTGCAAAAGACCATTGATGAGAGTCTGTTCCTTGGCAGCTGTGATACCAATCGTGTTGAGGACAAGAACAAGGTAGTAGCTACAGGCGACGTTAGACAGACACATAAACGCGGGGTCAAGGTGAGACAACATACCTGACGAGGTTGATCCCGTTCCACTGAGCGAACCACCCGACGATAACGGCAATTAGTGTTCTCTTTCTGTTCGCGGGAGTTCTGACGAGTTCGAGCCAAGAGTTCTGTGACATGGCATCGGCTTCGTGCGTCAAAGCACCCTCAATCTCCGCCATCTCGAAGTTGACAAGTGGAGCGTTTGCGTCACCGCCGGCGTGATACGTGGCGAGGATCTTGCGGGCCTCTTCGCGTCGGCCGTGGGCGACGAGCCATCGGGGAGACTCGGGGAGGAAGTACACAGCGAGGAGTTGGATGAAGGGGAGGGCTCCCTGGAGAAGAGACGGGATTCTCCAGCTCCATGTCGAGTCGATCTTGAAGGTTCCGTATGTGCACCATGCGGCGATGATACCTCCGAGGTACTGTCAAGTCAGTGGGCGACTTTGGGTATGAAGAGTGGGTACTTACGAAGGATGTGTTGTACAGAGCGGTAAGCTTGCCTCGATGCGTGGGATAGGCAAGCTCGGTGATGAGGATTGGACTAGGCTGGGCCAAGAAACTTGTGAAGAAACCAAGGATAGCTCTCGCCGCAATGAAAGTCTCCAAGTTCTGTGACACAGCTTGCATGATGGCGAAAGCGACACAAGTCAAGGCTCCGACCATCATGGCTGTCTTTCTACCGAATCGATCGCATACGTAGGTGACAAAGAAAAGGGCAATGACCTTTCCGGCTGGATATACGGAGTTGAGAGCACCGAGCATGGCGCCTTCGGGCTGTCCAAAGTAGCCTCTCCATTGAGGGAGGGTCTGAAGACCGTTCATCATCGATCCTGTGCATGTTAGTAAGGAGATGAAGTTGTCGCGCGCTGGACATACCATCATAACCAATTGCGCCTGATGACACGAGAGGAATTAGAAGGAGAAGGTTGAGTTTCAGGAGATGCGGTACGCGATACCAAGGTCGAGCATCATCGGGGAGTACCTGACAAGAATATTAGCATCCAATGCCCATCACTCGCATCTCAGGGAATAAACTCACTGCTGCAAGGTCATTGCCGGCAGCCGCGGCAGCACCTTTCTTCTCTGTTGGTGAGGAACCCATGACTCTTGGAGATGATCGATGTCTTGTCAGAAGTCCCAACGTCAATCAGCGACTGATGATGAATGTTCAGAAACCCAAAACACCAGGGTCATTGAGGTTAATTATATCTGAGCCTACCAAAACAGAAAATGATTATGCAGATCCAATGCTACCCCACGCGTTGGTAAACTGACACCCCATGGGGAAACTTGGAGCGTTCTTTGACGCTCGAAGAGATTGACAACTTGTTTGATGGGGTCTTGGCTTGGACGCGTTTGGTCTGGATCCGACGCTATTCCCAGCTGTTCCGAGACTTCGGACTAGGCTCTCATTGGTCCATTGCCGTGTCTTCCGAAGCAGCGTTCAGCTGATTGGGCACCATCTCGCTCATGACTCGAGCTTTGACCAGTTTTCTGGTCTCCGTTGTCGCTTTGCCGAAGCTCGTCAAAGCCTGGTGGATGCTTTACTACCAGTTGGACAAGTACCAGACTGGAGATATTCCCCCTCAGAACCTCCACAAAATTGGCGACACAGTTCCCCGACGTTGACCCGCACGCAAGTCAGAGAGAAGAGATCCGGGCGTTCTTATTACTCGCGAGTATCAGCATCCGTCCTTGCCCTAGTGGTTTCGAGGCAAACAACGACAAAATGGCAGACACAGATATTGATGCGATCATACAGTCACTGACACTGGAAGAGAAAGTACGTTACACTATCATCCGTCTGAAGGCGGATTTAGCTAATTCTTATCAGATTTCCCTCTTAGCTGGTCGGAACTTCTCAGAAACCGTTGGCTATCCAGAAAAGGGAGTTCCTTCGATCAAGGTGAGCTCGGTCTCTTGTCTCGTCCAACTACTTACTAACAGAATCAAGACTGCCGATGGACCAAATGGAATTCGCTCAGCAGCAACAGATCTCGACATCAAGTCGGCCTGTTTCCCAGCAGCATGTAATCTCGCAGCGACATTCGACCTAGACCTTGCCGAGAAATTTGGCAAGGCTCTAGGTGCTGAAGCGAGAGGCAAGCGAGTAAATTGCATGCTCGGTCCAACAGTCTGCATGCATCGCCATCCTCTTGGTGGTCGTAATTTTGAGAGCTACAGTGAAGACCCATTTCTCACCGGTAAAATGTCTTCAAAGGTCATACAAGGACTTCAAAGTCTCGGTATTTCTGCTACGATAAAGCATTTCGTGGCCAATGAGCAAGAAACAGCTCGTACGACTGTTGATGAGACCATTGATGAACGGGCATTGCGCGAGATTTACCTCAGGCCGTTCGAGATCGCTGTGAAGGAAGCGAATCCTTGGGCGATCATGACAGCTTATAATCATGTCAATGGCGTTCATTGCGATGAGCACAAGTGGCTTCTACAAGAGGTCTTGCGCGGCGAATGGGGCTGGAAAGGCCTTGTCATGAGTGATTGGGGCGGTACGAATTCCGTCGCTGCAGCGCTCAATGCTGGTTTGGACCTGGAGATGCCTGGTCCTCCCCGGCTAAGAAAGGAAGATGCTGTCAAGGAGGCACTTGAGCGGGGAGAATTGACAGAAAGCACCATCAACGAGCGAGCCAAGTCTGTTGTTGAGTGGGCGCTGAAGCTCAAGTCTCGTGAAGCAGAGTTACACTCTGTCGCTCTTGGTCAAAACACAAATACCCCCGAACTGCGAAGCATGATCCGCGAGGCCGGCGCACGGGGTATTGTCTTGCTGAAGAATCAGGGAGACCTCCTTCCTCTGACCAAAGAAAAGGTTCAGAAGAAAAAGGTTGCTCTTATCGGGTTTGCTAAAGATGCCATGGCCCACGGAGGAGGTAGTGCGGCTGTCAATGCGTACCGCAAGATCACTCCCTGGCAAGGTTTGCACGAGGCCCTTGGCGACGACGTTGAGTTCACATATGCTCGAGGCGCTCATCGCGAGCGCCTGCTTCCTGCTATTCATCCTGACGGTCTGTGCGGTAAAGTCGTGGGTCTTGATGGGAAGCCCGGGTTCAGTCGGCAGCTATTCAAGGAGGGTAAATCTGAGCCTGTATCTACTGTTGGACAGCCAACTTCAGCATACTCGCCTCTCGGATCACAAGAGTCGCTCTGGAGGAGACTTGAGATTGTCGGTGACTTTACACCGGCTGAGACAGGAGAGCACTACATCGCCTGCTCCGGATTGGGGCCTACAAGGGTCTATGTTGATGGCGAGATCATCTATGAGCAGACTGCCAACTGCACTGACCCCATGGGCTCTCTGTTCCTCGCTGCTCCAGAGCCTGAGTTCCGCCACAAGTTCGAAGGAGGAAAGACCTATCGCCTTAAAATCTGCAGTGATCCGCCTACCAAGATCGGCCTTACCATTCTTGAAGGTCGCAGTGGTGTTCGTGTCGGTTTCTCACTGGAATCCGACCACGATGCAGATCTTGTCGGAGAGGCTGCGGAGGTAGCCAAGGCTGCTGATTACGCGATTGTGTTTACCGGGCATGATCCTCAATGGGAGACTGAAGGTCGAGATCAAGATGGTTTCAATCTTCCTCGAAAGGGCACACAAGACGCCCTTGTGTCTACAGTGGCATCAGTCAACCCCAACACCGTGGTTGTCAACTCTACCGGCGTTGCTATCGCTATGCCCTGGTTGGAACAAGTCCCCGCTGTCGTACAAGCTTGGTTCCCGGGCCAAGAATGCGGCTACTCTATCGCGGATGTCCTTACAGGAGCTGTCAATCCTGAAGGTCGACTACCAGTGAGCTTCCCCAAAAAGATTGAGGACTGTCCCGCGCACGGAAATTTTCCTGGCGAATATGTAGATGGACAGCTCAAGGTTACTTACGCCGAAGGTGTTTTCGTCGGATATCGTCACTTTGATCGGCTCTCTCAGGAGAAGGTCAACTTTCCCTTCGGTCACGGCCTATCTTACACGACTTTTACATATGATCTGGTCAATGTTTCTCGCGAGGGTGACGACTGGTATGTCTCTGCTAAAGTATCTAACACTGGAAAGCAAGCTGGCGGCGCATTAGTGCAGGTTTATGCTGGCCCAGCTGAGCAGTCTCCTGATCATCCGATCAAGGCTCTCGTGGCTTTCCAGAAGGTACGATTGGAACCCGGTGAGACGAAGTTGGTTAAACTTTTGGTGAAACAGAGAGACTTGGCACATTTCAATACTGGACTGAAGAAGTGGGTAATTGATGAGGGCGAGTATCGCTTCTCACTGGGGGTCTCTTCAGCCGATATTGTTGGAGATACTGTGGTGAAGGTGCACAAGGCTATTTTCGATCCATAGATTTAGAAAGTTCAAATCTATTATATTTATCAAGAGGTCGCTTTATTTGTCCTAAAACATCCCAGGGGGTAAAATCTGAAAATCGCTGCGTGTTTTGCCTAGAGTTCGACGAATGACTTAAGTATCGGTCGCTAATAGGCTCATGTCACTGGAAGAACTGGTAGGCCAATTCCTCCAAATTTGCTATGAGAGTCTCGACTCCGCTTCAATTCATCATGTACCTATCCCTTCCAGAAATCCCCTCTACTAACTCGGAGGCGCTACTTTCTGCTGCTAGATCTGGGTCCAGGTCTTGGTCCGGGACCGAACGTTACCAACACATCGGTACACTAGAGACCCGGAACCTAACATTTACGTAACTAGGCAATAGTCAGCTGTTCCTCGGATCGGGTCCGAGACTTGGATTAACGCTGTTTGACTCGGAGGTAATCCGGAAGGGGTCGCGAAACTACCTCTTCCGGGGCTCATGTGTAAGTGCGTATGGTAACACCACTTCCAGACACCAGAATGCTATAATACGGTTAAGTGATGAAGGCTATGCTTGACATAGAGGAAGTATTCTTCACCCAGCCATTTTCGTAGCTCAGCATCATCCGAAAACATGCCAGCACCATATTCAGGGAAATGCCTCTGTGGCAACGTCAAGTTTGCAACTTCATCAGAACCAGTCACAGTACTCTCATGCTTCTGTGAGCATTGCTGCATAGGGGCTGGTGGCACACATCAACTGGTGTAAAATCTTTATCGACGGGCTGTTGACAGGAAAGCTAACCTGTGCCTGACAGATTGGAAAATTCATTGCCCAAGATGTCAAAGTCTCCACTACGGCAGACGATGCTATCACGAAGTACTCACTCTCCGACACATCTAGCGGAAGTTCTAAAGAGAAAGCATTTTGCCGTACATGTGGATGCACACTCTGGACTATTCCGGCAGCAGCAAAGGGTAAATTCTACATGATCCGACTCCCATTGCTGGACCAAGGGTAAGTTAGCTACCCTATGCTTGGTGCACTCATACTAAAATGTGGTTTAGCCTCAACTTCCAACCAGCGAATGAGATTTTTGTTAGAAATCGGCCAACTTGGGTGGAGCCAGTCAAAGACGCGGGTCAGTGGCATGAGATGCGAAAGTGACGCGTAGAAGAGACTGAGGATGCGGAGAAAGAGGGGAACCTTGCCTGGTGATGGACCAGAACAAGGGCCACCGATTGGTTTAGGAGACATCAACAGACCTCGGCTGGAGTTATTGAGCCAAAAGGAGATACAAGCAATATTGCCATTTAGTCACGAGAACAGTTAAACACTTGTAGCGGTTAATTATCTTGTTAATAGTGTCACTTCAGCTCAGTCAGTAAGTATCGGTATCCGGTATGCCACCACTTACCGACGACCTCCGATAGAAGCTAATGCAAAGATTCTGAGACCCCCGCTAATGCTCCCCGGATTTTAGCCGTAGTCCAGCCTCATAATCTTATCTCTTAATTCTGGGGATCCCCCGTTCCGAACCAATTCATGTCCATTCCGAAAACCCATCCTCTCCCGACCCAACAACCAGCGACATTCCCTTCGGATACGGAACTGGAGCTACCTACACATGGAGCCTCCACGACGAACAGATGACGGTGCCTCTGCCAATCGCCAGAGTGGGGCCAAACGCCTCAAGATTGATGTCGCTTGCGATAACTGCAGAGCCAAGAAGGTCAAGTGTGACGGTGTACGACCAGGTGAGACAGACACTGAGCTCACTCAGCCCCAGGAG